AAAGAAAAAGGGGTTTCAAGTCCTAAAAATAGGACATCTTGGAATACATTATCTGGACCTTCCATTTTCAAAAAATTTAGATATGAGTAGGGAAAATACGATATGCTCCTATTATATGCGAATATTACAACCAAGGTCGGTCAAACCCAATTTGTACCGCATTGTAATTATATTTTTTTCATTGGTAGGGCAGTGCCCGAAGGTTTGGGGCACTTCCTAAGAGGTCCGAAGTTGCCCTGGCAGTTCATTTTTTTTTTAAGTCCAGAGAGCGGTCCAAGGTCCCCATCTCGGACTCAAATTTTAAAAGAAATAGTGGTCCGAGGATGGGGACTTTGGACCGCCCTGTTAGTTCATTTGTTTTAGTCCAAAGAGCAGTTCGATGTCCCCATCCTCGGACCGAAATTTTAAAAGAAATAGTGGTTCGAAAATGGGGACCTCGGACCACCCTGGCAGTTTATTTTTTTTAAGTCTAGAGAGCAGTCCGAAGTCCCCATCCTCAAACCTCGGACCGCCCTAGCAGTTCATTTTTTTAAAAGAAAGAAGAAGCGATCTAAGGATTTGAACCTCAGACCGCCTGGGAAGTGCCCCAAACCTACCGATGAAAAAAACAAAAACAAAAAAAAAATGTGGTCCGAGGATGGCACTCGCGAACCTAGGGGTAATTTTGTCAAAACAAATGGTTGCGTTGACCGATCTTGGTTGTAATTTTGGGGTATAAAGGGAGCAAATCGTATTTTCTTAACTTATTTAAGGTTCATATGTAATCAACTCAAGTTTTTAAGTGTTTGTTTATCTATTCCGTTTTAAGTTTCATAATTAAGGGTAAAAATTGATTTATGTGCCATCGTAAAGTTTTCTAGTACAAGAATTGCATCTTCTGAAAGGGTTTTAAGGAGCACCTTACCTTGATTGTTTAAGGTTGATCATCATCATCAGAGCCTTTTCCAACTAATTGGGTTCGCCACACAAATCCTGATCATCCATCTACTCTATTAAGGGTCATACCCTCAATAATGTCATAAGTCCCTATATCTTTTCTCACATATTTCAGGGTATTTTACTCATTTTATCTTTTTAAAAAATTAAATATTTTATTTAGGTGCGAGTTGGTTTGATGTACACACACTTCAAATTTCATGTCAATTTGATTAGTAGCAAACTTATTAAAATTAAAACACTATCAAACAACCAT